TGATGCTGACTGTTCCATGAAGGCCATGGCCATCGCTGTCTGCTGACATTCAGAGGTTGGGTAAAATGCCTGTAAACCTCCATTAAAAATTTAAGGAACACAAGTTTTTTAACTGGCCCCTGGAGAACCTCTTTTACCTTGGCCGAATTAGTAGGGTGCCTTGCCGCTGAGATTTGCCATGAGACCAGCATTTTGACTGTCAGTTTCTCCCTTTAAGAATTAATTAGACATAGAAGAATGAAAATAGATCCATATTTATCTCTATGCACAAAACTGAAATCTAAACAAACTAAAGATCTTAACATAAAGCCAACAATATTGAACCTCATAGAAGAAAAAAGTTTAAAATATATTTTTAAACACAGCCTCAGTGGCATAAACATTAAGAGAAACAATCAATAAATAGGATCTCCAGAACTGAGAAGCTTTTTGTATAGCAAAGGATATAATCAACAGAACATAAAAACATATAAGGAACTTAGGAACTTAGTCTTCATAAGAACAAATAATCCAATAAAATTATGTTACAGACCTAAACTGTAAACTCTCAACAGATGAACTTAAAATGACTGAAAGATATTTAAAAATTGATTAAATATAACATCCTTAATCATTGAGGAAATGCAAATCAAGCAACTCTGAGATTTTATCTTATCCCTGTAAAAATGACCAAGATTAGAAATATTGTTTGACACTTTACGCTTAAGAGAATGTGGAATAAAAATCCTCCATTTTTGGTAAAAATGCTAACTGATGCAGCTTCTTTGAACATTAATATGATAAATTTTTGGAATTAGGTAACATATTACCTTAAAACTTAGCAATATCCCTTTTGGGCTTTTACATAGCAGAATTATTTTATCATAGACAGAATCTGAAAACAACCCAAAATGTACCTTTTTTATATCAATAATAAATGAGAATCTTTGCCATGCTTTTAAAATAGCCACAAACATTATAAAGAGCCAAAAGGGCCATTTTAACTCAACCTTATCACTCAGCAACACCCCCTTTGCCATTGTAGTGGGTGAGAGGCTTCAGCATATCTTTGCCATATGGGGCAACTTGGGGGTCCCACCTCATCACAAGCATTGCAAGCAGTCAAGTGTCAAATTTAGATCTAAACATGGGCACATGGGCAACTTAGAAGCTCAGCTGGGCTGTTTACATGGCCCTGGCAGGGGCCAGGGCTTTTAAAGCAATTGTTCTTGAAGACAGTGTAGTCCTAGATCCATCTAAACAGAGTTGGTGTAGAAAGAGCTGCGGGCAGCTTTTTACCGCTCAGCTCCCGGCCACCGGCTAGCTTTATCCAAAATAATTACATGGAAACTGTATTCTTTTAAACACTGCTTGGCCCATTAGCTCTAGCCTCTTACTGGCTAACTCTCACATCTTGATTAACCCATTTCTATTAATGTGTGTAGCACCACGAGATGGTGGCTTACCAGGAAGGATCTTAACCTGTGTCCATCTCGGAGAGGAGAGGCATGGTGACTGCCTGACCCTGCTTCTTTCTCCCAGCATGCTGTTCTGTCTCCTCCGCCTACCTAATTTTCTGTCCTATCAAAGGCCAAGGTAGTTTCTCTATTAACCAATGAAAGTAACACATAGACAAATGACCCTCCTCCATCAAGTTCATAATTGAATTTTTTATGAACACACTGCGTAGTAAGAAATATAAAAACCAACAATCTGTAGTTTTTTTATAAGCACATTTTTTTAAAAGTGACTCAGCTTAACTTTCCCCACTTTTTAAACCAGAAGCTTTACCCTGGACACAGCACGTGATGCCTGGAACAGGGCATCCCTAGAAGAGAGATGCTATCAGGGCTGGGAGGCACTTCTGATATTGGCTTGCCCTACTACCTGTTGCTCCTGAATCCACATTCGCAGTTTACCAAAAGCCACAGAGATACTTACTTGCAATCTCTCTTTACCAAAAGCCACAGAGATACTTACTTGCAATCTCTCTATCTGCTGCCAAAATGAAAAGGTCCAGGCTCTTTACGAAACTTTTGCTTTCTAATAGGGTATCTGACCCCAGAGAAACAGCCTACTGCTGCTTTCCAGGCTTACTGGGTCCTGTGGGGAGGAATTAGCACCAGCTTGGAACCAACTGGCATGTGTGCCTCCTGCACAGGAAAAGAGACGGGGGAGGGACAGACTGCAGTTATCGAAGTCAGAGGAAAGCCTGGCCATGGTGCCTGCACTGTGCTCTGTAACAAAATGGTTTGACCCTGAGTAGGGGGGTTCTCTGGACAAGCTCTCCCAGGTGACAATATAGAGAACCTGGTCCAGGTGGCCATAAGGGTCAGGCTGGAAGACTTTTTCTTTAACCTGCAAAATAGTATCTAGATTGAACGTCCCACCCTGTGGCAAGCCCACTTCAAAAGTGGGCCATTCCAGAAAGCAGACTGCTGGCCAGCATTTCTTTCAGATTTCCACAGCTTGGTCTGCAGCTTTTCTCTAAAGTTAGAGTTAGGGTCAGAGAGGTGGTTACTTACTGCCCCATGGTACCAGATACAAAAACAAAGACATGACATAAAACCAAAGACACAAAAAGGCAAAACCAAACTCAAAATCAGAAGCTGTGCAGCACTACAAATGGAGGTGAGCGACAAATATCTGTGCCTCCTGGGAACTAGAGGAGTGACCTGGTCACTCCTAGCCCCTTTCAGACACTGGAGTGTCCTCCAGATTTCAGATTACTGGAGTGTCCTCCAGATACCAGCCCTACATAGGTACAATTTCTCAGAATACCAAGGAACGCAAACTACAATAATCACAGAAACAAAGCAGGCAGACAGACAAAGACAATAAGAGCGCTCGAGCTTACTTCCAACAGGCCCTGAAATGGGTCCAGAAGTGAATCACTTCCCGGCCCATGCACCAAAATATTGGACTAGATGTCCAAACATCAGGGAGGAGTTGCTCCAGACACCACTCACACAGCCTCAATTGATGCAAAAGCAAGAAAAATTTTTATTCTGTCATGACAGGGCCCTTCAGGTTTGGGATATAAAGGACATCAGATAGCTGTTACAGTCCATCTTTTAAAGCAAGAAGCCACAAATACAAGGGAAGAACCTGTAGATTGTTTTCCAACTTATTGGATTGGCTTATTCAAAGGGTTACTAGCAGTGATTGGTCTATTCCAGTGCAGGAGAATAGCTGTGTGGTCAGGTGATAAGGGAGAGCATCTCTGGTCCATCCTGACCTTGTTCTAGTGACTAAATCAATACATCAGAAACTGAGTCAACATCTGTGGGATGTCTTTGCCTCAATTCCCAGAATGGAGTTATATTTGAAGATTATTTACAAGGACACAGGAAGATAAACAGTCCAGTAGGTGGGGGGGCAACTGTCCCATTTCCAAGAGAGTGAGTGTAAAGTTTTAGAAAAATGTCTTAGGGTTGACAGGGCTTAAAAATACATTTAGAGATGCATGTGGCATGCAGACACAGTGGGCAAACACCGGAGCGCAGATACTGCAGACACCGGTGTGCACAGGCGGCGGATGTGGGATAGTCCAAGCATGAAACAGTGAAGCCCACACTGAGAGCAGATCGCCACACTACAACTAAATCAAGTAGGTTTTGGGGGTCCTGGCCTGCAGAGTGGACACCATAGAGAAAATAAACGCACTGATCAAAGAAAACAGCAAAGCCAAAAAATACTTATCACAAAACATTCAGGAAATATGGGACACAATAAAAAAGACGTTTAGAGTCTTTCAGGATCACCTTTGTCTGAGCTTTGTTTATCCTTTAAGACAGATTCAATCTCAAGTAGCCCAGGATGACTTTGAACTCACAGAGATCTGTCTGGCTCTGTCTCTCGAGCCCTAGGATTAAAGGTCTGTGGCACCACTCCCTGGATTGTATAACAGAATAGTATGGCTGCTTTGCCCTCTGAACTTCAGGCAAACTTTCTTTATTAAAATAAAAATAATATACCACTATAGAAGGTGAGAGAAATCAGAGGAGAATAAAGAATCATATTCCCAATATCTAATGACAGAACCACAGGTCAGGAAGAGAAAGTTTGAATTCTTAATAAATCAATCCCCTTCTCCATTTTCAAAACCAATAAATGTTGTTTTTCAAAGCTGAGTCAATCACCACACTGCCAGGTGCAGTTGTCTTTTTCCCCTTAGGCTTCCATGTCTCACTTTTTACAAGAGCATGATGGGCTGTTATCAACTCAGCCACTGTCAGTGCCAAGCGAGAGAGCTGAGGGCTTGTGGTCCTATGTGGCAGTGAGGACTGGGCCAAGCCTCCAAAACTCAGCAGAGTTGGAGGGACTAAAATGGGCTTCACCAAACAGGAACACTACTAGAACACACAAACTGATTTTAAATATTTTACTCATTTTATATTTTATTTGGGTAGGGTTTTGTCTACAGAGATGGCTGTGCCCATGGAGTAGGAACTTAGATCCTCTGTAGCCCCAGTTAGAGATGGTTGAAAAGTCAACCATGTGTGCTGGGAAGTGATCAAGGGTCCTCTGCAGAAATAATTATTGCTTTTGTCAACTGAGTCATCATCTCTCCAGTTCACACATGCTAAGTTTGGAGGAAAAATGTCTTCATTCTCTTGCCCTTTTCTTGTAAATAAACATTCATGTTTATTTTTCACTTTGTTCTGAGCCCTTGATCATATGGTCTGCTCATCCAATGCAGACAGTTTTCTACAAAGAAACCTTACTGGAATGAGATTGGGATCAGCAGAACCTTGAATCCCAGTTTCCATCTGATGAGACAAAAATCAAAGCAGTCTAAACAGAGTAGAAGTTGCATAGAGTATACCAGAATCTGGTGCTGCTCCTCCTCCTACCTGTCCTTCACTCGTTTACAGATGTGTTGAAGCCAGGTCCAGCAGCTGTGTTTCCCCAAATTCATTGTAAATGTGCCTCAGAGCCCACAGTCTAAACAGGTGTCATTAGTAACAACACTGACAGCTTCTTCTGGAAGACACACCTAGGTCACAGCCCACAGGGTCCTAAGATCGCTTCAGGCATTTGGGGGAGAGGGGATCCAGGAAAAGACCACGTGCAGAAACCAGGGAGACACATACTTCAGCCACCAAGTAGGGATAGGAGTTGACCACTGTCTTCCAGCTCAAGGTCTCAAAAACCTCGGAAGCATGAGCTGTAATGAAATCCATTGTCCAAGTTTTCAATTGCACTGACCTGTGGAGGTCAGCCAGGAAGAGAGTGTGGGCAGCATTCTCCACAGAGAGGTCCCTGCAGAGGGCACTCTCACACATCACCTTCAAGCGCTCCAGGCCATACTTGTCAGCAGCTGCAAGCACAGCGTCTGCCATGCTGTGGAGATCTGGTTGCTTCCCAGTGTAAATGAAGTCCATCATTGCCTTAAAAACTTCAGGTTCTAGGTCATGAATCTCAATGTGATTCTTTCTGCTCTCCTCCATGTCATGCTCAAACATGGCTCTGAAAACTGAAGAGCGAGCAGCTAAGATGGCCTTGTGAGCCTGGAATTCCTGGCCAGCTACCACCAGGCAGCAGTCTGTGAAGTGGGAATTCTCCCACAGCTCTCCTAGATCATCTACCAGTGTGCACCTTGGAATCTCAATTCCTGGCTGCATGTTCTGTTCAGAGATGCTGATGCAGTCCTTAACCACGCTCACCTCACAGCAGAGTGTGAATTTGTCATCTGGGAGAAGCAAACATGGAGTGGACAAAAGGAAGTCTCGAAAGAAGAACTTTTTGAAGCCCCAGTGTTGGTTTTGGTCGAACCTGATGACACTTTGACTGTTCATGATTTGAGATTCCTCTCCTTTGGCATTTATGATCCCAAACTGGACCTTTGCCCACACGGGGCTCTTTGGAGAGCTGAGCAACCCGAGGAAAACTGACAAGTAACCTCTGCTTTCCTCATCCATCCCATTCAGGTGTACATTCATATACCATTTTTGCTTGTCATTGGCTCCTGTTGAGAAAGTGGGACTTTTAATACCTTTCCCCAAGCAAAAAGAGAAGTTGCTAATGGTCCATCTGTAGGAGAATTTCTTGACGCTGATCTGTGTGTTGCCACTGATCTCAGCTGCCAGGTCCCCTGACATGTCTGCTTCTGGGAGTGTGAAGGTTTACCTAAGGCCAAAGAAGAACAGGATTGTTTTTTTTTTCTTCAACCTGGGGGTCACAATTACAAATATATTTTATATTTCTTTGTTTTCCCATCTGTTCCCTCTTCTATGACGCTAGAAACTTGAGTCTGTCTGAAATTCTATCCAGATTGCACTATGAGATTCAAAGAAGACAGTCTAGAGTACTAGGTACTCTTTCTTACATCACTCCATTTTTTTCTAGATTGAATATTAAGGAAGAAGGTGATTAGTTTTTACAATTATACACAACTTTTGATAATTTGGAACATTATATATACTCTTATAACAATAAGTGTTATACTAGGGGTCTCTAAAGGAACAGAACACATAGAATGGATCTCTCTGTATGAAAGAGAGTGATTTATTAGAATGACTTAGGGCTGCAGTCCTGCTAATTCCACAAATGCGATCTGTGAAGGGAGAGTACAAGAACCCAGTACTTACTCAGTCCCAGAGGTCTGATGTATTGGCTATTCCTCAGTCTATGCTGAAATTCCAAAGATGATTCCCTACTGGCAGTGAAGGAAAGGACTTGCTGAAAGTCAGGGGCAAGCAGCAATGAGCAGCAGCTTCCTTCTTCCCTCTGCTTTTATGCTAACAGCAGAGGGTGTGGCACAGTGTAGGGTAAGTCTTCCCACCTTGAGATCTGGATTTAAGGTGTGTGTCTTCTGGCATCAATTCCAGACTAAAAGTTTCCATTTTTCAACCTTCAAAATCATATTGGAAGGGGATGTACCTACTCAACTTAAGCAAAAAATTTCTCACAAGTGTGATGTCCATTTTAGATTTTTGTTAATTCCAAGTTTAGCTAAATTGGGAACCAAGAATAACTACCACACTTGTGAGAAACCTCTAAATGGTTTACATTGTGTTTAAAAATATATGCAGACTTGAAAGAAAAAAGTTAAAGTTTTTAAGTAAAGAAAGAAAGAGAGTAATTGGGTGTGGTAGTACACACCTTTAATCCCAACACTTGGGAGGCAGAGGTAGATTGACCTCTGTGACTTCAAGGTGTGGTAGCATACACCTTTAATCCCAGCACTGAGGAGGCAGAGACAGACAGACCTCTGTGAGTCCAAGGACTCTGGTCTACAGAGTTATTCCAGGACAAAGATATACAGAGAACTGGTCTCAAAAAAATAAAAGTAAAAATAAACAAAATAGAGGTAAAATAAAGCCACACAAAGATGGAAAATACACAGAGAATCTTGATACTGTATGCTATTATGCTCTCTTTGAATTGTTTGAATGCTGAGGAAGGAGCAACAGCTGCTAAAAGATATTTGTTTATAAATGCTGCTGAACTAATGCAACATAGATATTTTGAAAATACAATGATTTTAAAATTTGGATCTAAGGTTATGATGCTTTGGAAAAGTCCTTTTGTTTTCACAGAGGATAAGACCCTGTGGATTGCTTCTATCCCAGTATGGTATGATAGACCACACCCTCCTGAAAGGTTGCTGTGAACACCCTCAAAAAATTACTTCACTCAACTGTGGACTGAGATGAACCTGGCACACAAGTTATACCATGAAAGACCTAATTAACAACGCCCCTATACAGCAGGAAAAAGTTTGGAGAGAAATAACTACGTCCATATTCCCAAATACTGTTTATAAGTGTTCTTTTACATTTAAAGGGGGATATGATACAGATATTAATAATTTGCATTGGTATGGATTTTAAGGTCAATTTTGTTATATGTATATGTATTTCTGATGTTGATTAAGGTATCATGATTGTACAGTTTATTTCAAAAATGTAATGTAACTGGGCTGTGGTGGCACACGCCTTTAATCCCAGCACTCGGGAGGCAGAGACAGGTGGATCTCTGTGAGTTCGAGGCCAGCCTGGTCTACAAGAGCTAGTTCCAGGACAGGAACCAAAAGCTACAGAGAAACCCTGTCTCGAAAAATCCAAAAAAAAAAGTAATGTATTAATTAGGAAATATAGGTTGTTAATGGATAATCATGGATAATAGTCAAGCTTGTAGTGATGTTAGTTAGATTTTCTAGATGTACATTCATATATTTCAGATAGGCATTCTTCATAACTTTCAAAGACTACAGTATATGGCATTTTAAAAGTTTTAATAAGTTAGGGCTTTTCATGATTATGGGACATGTCTGCTCCTAGCAGCACCAATTTACTTCAAGAGGAAGATAGGCATTGAAGAGGCTCCTTATGGAGTTGGCTAGCCATTTGGGCAAGAAACTGATCTTGCCTGGACTGGTGCATAAACTGGACACAAAGAACCTGCAGAGAGAGGACTGCTGAACTTGCCTAAAGGTGAGATGGTATTTTGGGGTTCCTGATTCATGAAAGATTCTGCAAAACACTCTGCAGGACACAGCAGAAAGTGACTGAACTGTCTTTCAGTTTTCCTGCTTCATGGAAATGTCTGCTAGATACTATGAGCCTGTAGGGTGAAGATGGATACCCCAAAGGTACCAAAGAACTTTGGGTGACTGTCCAGGTAGCGAGATGTCTCTGTCATTTCTAGAGTTTGAAGTTTCTTATTTCTTGTTTACTTAGGTAATATTATATCCTTCTGGAGTCTTTGATGGAGTTGAAGAATATATAGATAGTTATTGTTTTCCTTAAGTTATGATAAAAGATAGATATAAATATTGTAACTGTAATTCTTGTTTGATAACTGTTTTTTTTTGCTTTGTTTTATGTAATTTTACTATGTTAAAGTGAAAGCCTTTCTTTTTTTAAAACAAAAAAAGGGGAAATTTTGTAGGTGGGTCTTCTATCTATCTGTTGTTTCATTGGTTAATTAATAAAGAAAACTGCTTGGCCTGATAGGTCAGAACATAGGTAGGTGGGAAAGACAGAATAGAATGCCGGGAGGAAGAAGGCAGTAAGGCAGACGCCATGGAACCCGCCACCAGGTCAGACATGCTGAATCTTTCCCGGTAAGCCACCACCTCATGGTGCTACACACATTAAGAGAAATGGGTTAACCAAGATGTGAGAATTCGCCAGTAAGAGGCTAGAACTAATAAGCCAGGCAGTGTTTAAATGAATACAATTTGTGGTTGTTATTTCGGGGCATAAGCTAGCCAGGTGGCCAGGAGCCAGGCGGCAGGAAAGAAGCCTGCTGTTACTTCTACAGCCTCTGACATCCTCTGCTTGAACTCCAGGCAGCATTCTTCTCTCTATGGTATTGCCCATATGCATGCAGTCATCTGTGGGCAGCTGCATCAGTGTGTTGCAAGAGAGTGAATCAGTTCTCTCTAACTTGTTAAGCAAGTTCCCTACTACTAAGCTACATTTTCATGCTCTTACCCTTCTCTGGCCTCCCCTTATTTCCTCCTTTCTTTAGTCTCCTCAGGCTGTACTCCATAATGTCTTCCTTTCTTTAGGCTCCTCAGGCTGTCCCACAGAGAACTGGGTCCAGCAGGACACAGAGCACTTGTCACTGTGACTCTAAGGTGGATGACTCATGCTTTGTTGTATCAGGGAGTGGAGGTCAGGTCTCCAATCTCAGCACCCCCAGAGTGTAAGATGAGGGAACAACCTGGCTTACATCAGGAATTTCAGGATAGCCAAAACAACCTAGTGAGATTATGTCACAAATTCATAATAATGATGATGATGATGATGATGATGATAATGTTGATGATAATATAATTATAGTATATACTCAGAAACAGTGGCCAGCGCTGCTACCAATGACTCCTAGGTAGAAAATGGGGTATGTGGAGCATTTGCAGCAACTCTGGGGAAAGACATCATGGTTAGTCAGGCTTTATTTAATACATTTGTTAATGAGTTGAATATTGTAGTGGTTTATTATTTGTATTTTGATAAATAAATCTTGCCTGAAGATCATAGACAAAGCTCAAAACACTAGAGGTTAGGCAATGGTGACACACACCTTTAATCCTAGGATTTTTTTTGACAGTGTCACATGGATCTCTGTGTGTTTAAGGGCACCCTGATCTAAACAAGATCAGTGCAGTAACAAATCCAGGTGGTGGTGGTTGACACCTTAAATCCCAGTCCTAGGGAATCCCAGCACTAGAGGTAATGTAAAATGGGAGGAGAGAGAGAGGGGCTTAGTTTGTTTATTCTACAGTCACCCAGCCTTGATACAGGAAAGACATCTGTAGTGGCTTGGCGGCTTTGCTTTTCTGGTTGTTGGTTTGAACCCCAATATCTATCTCTAGGTTTTTATTTTTGGTGCTACAGAATGGCAGGGTGGGGGAGGAACAGTGATGAACTCTGATGTACTCTATGCAACCTCTTCCCTGTTGCTGTATTGGTTTGATTTTCATCCAGTGATTTGGAAACTAGGATTCAGTTTAGCTTATGCCCCCAGCACATCCCAACAGGGTTTATTCAAAGAAACCTGTCTGGATTAGACTTTGCAGAACATATGATCAAGGGCTCAGAGCAAAGGAGAAAACAAATGTGAATGTTTTCTTACAAGAGAAGTAGAAAATGAAGACATTTTTCCTCCAAACTCAGTGGGCAAAAGCAATTGTTCCTCTTGCAGAGCACCCTTCTTCAGTTATGTAGACAAAATTTTACCCCAATACACTAAATATAAACACCACAAAGTGATTCTGTTAGAAGAAGCCCAGCCCTGCTCAGCTGCGGAAGTTTGTGCAGGGTCCTCACAGTCACACACACAAATGTTAATGAAACGATACCTAATGAAATTGCTGCACTCAGAGACTGGTGCCTAGCCCAGCTGTCATCAGTTAGGCTTTCTCCAGCAGCTGATGGTAGTAAAGGGTTCACAGAGTCAGATAAATGGGGATCATAGGGGCTCACAGGGACTGAAGAGGCAATCACACAGATGCATGGGTCAGCACTATGCCCTCTGTATACTGTGGTTTTTTAGTTCGGGGGTTCTTGTGGGACTCCTAAGAATGGGAGTGTGGGGAGTCTCTGACCTCTTTGTCTGATCTTGGGAACCTTTTCTTCCTTCTGGTCGA